TCCATTCTTATTTTTGTTGCGGGGGGGGGGGCGAGCCAGCGAGACAGCTTTCGGGGCGCGCTGGTAAGGTGGGAGGGGGTGGGGGCCGGCCGATTCGATTCTTTGGCTTGTGTGTGAAAGCGGCCGCCGCAGCGGCGGAGACGACAACAACTTGCTGGTTTTCAGGTTGGGTTAACGGCATGGAGAACAGTCACCCCCACCACCACCACCAGCAGCCCCCGCCGCAGCCCGGCCCTTCGGGCGAGAGGAGAAACCACCATTGGAGAAGTTACAAGTTGATGATTGACCCGGCTCTGAAAAAGGGGCATCATAAACTGTACCGCTACGATGGGCAGCATTTCAGCCTGGCGGTGAGTAGCCGGCGCGCCTTCCCGCCACCCCCACCCACCCCGGGCCGAGCCCCCAGACCCGGGCGAACGCAGGGGGACCCCTCTCTCGGCCACCTGGCCAACTGTCAGCCCCGTCCCCCAGCCTGCAGCGGGACTGGTGCCTGGAAAGGGGGGGACCTGCTGCTGCCCCTGGGGAGGGAGCCAGCTCTTCCTTACCGCGCCCCCATCCCTGCCCACAGATGTCCAGCAACCGCCCAGTGGAAATCGTGGAAGACCCCCGGGTCGTCGGTATCTGGACCAAAAACAAGGAGCTGGAGCTGTCGGTGCCCAAATTCAAGGTAGGACCCCTCCCCCCGGCTCCGTGGTCCACCCCTCTCCTCGAGTTCGAAAATAACGCCAGTCCTGACCAAGCCCAGCCGGATTCCGAGTTCCCGCCGTCCTGGGCTGGGAAGTTTTGGCGGGGAGGGGAGAGGGGTGTCCCCTCCTGGCCACTGTAAACAAAATAACACTCCGAGAAACTGTAACCAGCGCGCTGCTGATACTGTGTCCATCTCGCCGCCGAGCCGGGGGCTCTGGGCCCCCACCTGGTTCCAGTGCACCTAGGGCCCTGGCCCTGAGACCCGCCCCCCTTCCCAGCTCCGTGGCTTAAGGGGGACAACTTCCTAGTCCTAGGGGTCGTCCGGGAGCCCGCAGCAAGGACTGGAGGCCAGAACAGGGGGTGGAGAAAGAGAAACTGTTTCTTTTTCCCCTTTCCTTTCGAACCCTGAGGACTTCCACGTTCCAAACAATTTAATCCTCCGTTTCCCGAGCCCGCCCGCGTGCTTTTTTTCTTTATTTTATTTTTTTCTTTTTCTTTGAAACATTTTTTTTTTAACCCTTCATTGTTTTTAGCCTCTGGGCAAGTGTAGTGTTTTGTTTTCCCTTTGCTTTTTAATGTTTTCCAAACTCCCTTCCCTTCGTCCCTTGCCAGATCGATGAGTTCTACGTGGGCCCTGTGCCTCCAAAGCAGGTGACATTTGCCAAGCTGAATGACAACATCCGTGAAAACTTCCTGAGGGACATGTGCAAAAAGTATGGGGAGGTGGAGGAGGTGGAGATTTTGTACAACCCCAAGACCAAAAAGCACCTGGGCATCGCCAAGGTGGTCTTTGCCACGGTCAGGGGAGCCAAGGAGGCAGTCCAGCACTTGCACAGCACTTCGGTCATGGGCAACATCATCCACGTGGAGCTGGACACTAAAGGTTAGTGGAGGTGGGTTAGCCGCCTTAGGGGAGGAGCCGGTAGGCAGCCTGTCAGCCTGACCCCTTTTCATCCCAGTGTCCCCCACTCCCCTTCAGGGTTAGGAGAACCTTTCTTGCCTCTGGCTCTTTCTTGGGATTCCCCACCACCACCACCACTTTATTTTTTGTCCCTTCCTCGGGTAGAGTCACATGGAACTAAATGTGTTGTATGTTGCTAGGAGACAGGCTATAATTTACCTAATGTGCCAGTCCTTGGCCACTGCACCTCTAGGGACCACCTGGAGGCTTCCCCACTGATGACACCCTTTTGGGTCCCTTTGTCTGAGCCCCAGTGGCCTGAGTTTAGTCCGTCCCCAGTGTTGATGCCTGTTTTAGGGGAGAAGGCAGAATTTGTTTATTTGTAGGGGCCAGAGAGAGAATCTTTAAGTGTTTTTAAATACATAAAGTTAATCCTTTAAGGGTCTAGGGTGTAAC